ACCCAAAGTTGATCTGGCTCCCCCTTCTCACCTCATTTTTGGAGAGGTTCAGGATCTTGACTTTGGGGGCCTTCTCTGTAATGTCGGACAGGCCATCCAGCTGGTACAGTTTGTTGTTGCACAAGTTCAAAGACAGTAGCTTTGGGTCAAGAAGAGTTAGTGTGGCAGCTACTGTCTTGCGCCTCAGAGACAAATCTGCCCTCCACCTTTTCTCTTCCACCCCTCTAACTAAAAACCAGCACTTGGCTTAAGGCTTCACCTCAGGGAAATTCGATTCAATGATCTTCAGGGTGGCAGCCATGCAGTTTCTTCGATTCAGGATTATATCAATATCACGGCCCGTCAAGTCTTCAGGAAGCCAAGAGAAGAGAATCAGAAGGCTGGGAGGGCCCTGGCTGGACCAGAGCCAGCACCAACCCCTCCCTAAATTGCCATCCCTAAGTCTCCCTCCCGGGCAGACTGCTCTGCCCCCACTTGCCTTAGAATTGCTGCTGTCAGCCATACCTGGGTCAAAGCAGAGACTCTGGAGATCAAGAGCTTGCTGGGAGACATCATATCGTTTGTCCATGGTCAGCTATAGAGACAGAGATGAAGACAGAGACTCTGAGGCTCTGGTGGTGGTGGTGGTGGTGGTGGTGGTGGTGGTGGTGACAGGGAAAGAGGGGGCCAGGGGAAGAAGAGGTGCATCCAGGAAGTGGGCATGCAATGATCCTGGAGTCTGTATTACCTTTAGCAACTCCATGTGGCTTGGCTTCAACTTATTCTTCACAGAGAAGGGCGCAGTAGAATGATTGACAAATATACATATCTGCAGGAAGGAGACGTGGGGTAAGTACCAGGACCTCTAATCCCAATGAGGATGACCAGCCTCCTGGCCTGTCCTCCTACCCAGAGACTAAGGACAGGGAATGCCCTCCGCACACACCTTCCGGTTGTGGTCATCACAAATCGTATAGTTGACATCCTTCAATGCAGAGGCAGTACTAGCACCTTGCACAAAGAAGTGTGCCCGATTTTGGAAGTAGTGGAACTACAGGGAGTGAAGGCAAGAGCAACGGTGTCAGAGGCCAATGGCCCCTGCTGAGCCAGGCCTCTCCCCGTACCCCGTGCCCACTCATCTGGCTTCACCATGCTCTCTTACATCAAGTGGAGTGAAGGGGACACTGCAATGGCTCTGGATTGAATTCATTAGCCATGCCTTGTCATACTTTCCCCCGTAAGGAATCTGAGGGTAAAAACAAGACACAGGAGAGAAGGGAGAGACAACGTGGAACAAATGATGGAGAACAGAACCAACCAGCTCTTTTTTCTTTCTTTTTTATTCCAGCCTTCTACTTAGCTTGGACTTTTAAAGAAGCGACCGCTGACAGGATTTCTTATTTATTTGTGTGCCAAATATGGATTCCCGAAACTCCCTTTCCCCCCATTCCGAAGCTCTCCTGCAAATAATCAATTTAGGGTGTTTTAAGTGGTCTTCCTTCTATCAGGTTCCAGAGTAGTCCACCTAATGCAGACCTCACCAAGATACTCACTGTGACCTTGAACCAGGCCCTCGTTTTTCCATCTTGCGTGTCCTCCATCATTTTTCTCTCTGGACGTTTTCTGTTTCTCCACGTGGTAGTATGGATTTGGTCTTCACTATGCCATTTCACTAGCTTCCTGTTGCGTTCGATACTATAAGGAGTGCTGTGGGGAAGAGGCGAGAAGGTGGGTATCCATTAAATCTAAGAAAGCCTTCTATACACGCCCCCCTCACTGACACCAGTGCTACAGTTAGGATTGCCTAGCCATTATTCCGCTTCCAGCATTCCTCTGTTCTCTAATGAGAGAAAAAAAGGAAGACCACGGAGAATAAAAGGGTTGCACAGTCCCGGGGGACTGCTACGTGCAAACCAGGCTGCCTGGTCACTTACTGTCTTAGTTGGCGGTCCTTGTGGACATCCCCCATCTCCAGGCTTCCATCATTCTCCTGGCGCTCTGAAGGCGGAAGCTCATGCCCACCGTGTTCGTAACGAGGGTTCCTCTTGTCAAAATTATCCTGGAAAGAACTCCCACCTTTCTTTCTTCCTTGAAAAGTGCTACCATGGTCATGGCATCCTGCAACTGGGAAGAAGAAGACAAGTTCGAAGACATGTCAATGGGTCAATGGCCCACTTACCACGTACCATGCCGTGGGCTAACTCCATGGTAGGGTAAGCAGAGTGCCAACCCGCCCCAAGGGATCAATCACACAAGCCCCAGAAAACAAACTCCTCTGCCTGTCCAGATACAAGGGCCTTATCTCACAGGCGGCACAATCAGGGGAGGAATCTTGGGAGAGGAAGCAACTGTGGTGAACCACTTAAAAAAATGGAGCAGGAATTATACAGAACAGAGGTGCGTGTGTCCATGGGTTAGACTACATACCAGACGCACACCTGGAGGGGGTCCTAATCTTGCCTTCTCTCAGGCTTCTCCAATCTAACACACCAACCACACCAACACCTGGACACAACCTCTCTCGCACCTCCCAAATCCAGTCCCCCAAATGCATTCTGTGAACCATCAGCAAGCTGTACTTCTTTGCCGGTGTAGCACAGGCTTTAATGACAGGTGAGACTGAGGTAACAGCTTCCGAAGCTACCCCCCTACCTCCAGCCTTGCCCTCAACAGTACCCAGTTGGAAATATCCAGAGCAGGCTTTCTTTTTGTCCAGCCTGAAATGCTTTCAGCCCAAGAGACAACTCTTCCCAAGCAAGTGACAGAATTCCCATAAAGAAAGAAAATCAGCAAAGATATTGAAAACCACTACAGTAACAGGATGTAAAGGACATAAGTAAAACACTGTGCCCAACAACGAAAGCAGAGCATGCTTTTCTTTCCCCCCCTACCGTCTTGTAGCATTCACGAAGGTAGACCATCTCCTGGGCCATCAAACAGACCTCAACCAATTTCAAAATGTACCCGTCGTCTCGGGGTACCCGTATGAATAAAATCTCGGTCACTGCCGATCTCTCTGCAATGTACTACTGATTATGGCCAGGCCTCAGATGAACTTCTGTGGGGGCTGGGGAAGGCGGGTCATTTCTTTCACTGTGTGTGACCCACTGTCAGGACAGTTCTGCTCCTCTCGGCTGCTTTGGGACTTTCCCTGTGTGCCATTAGAAGTGATATTAAATGTAGGCAGAGCGTTTGACCTAGACATTCCTGATGCTCGGTCCCCAGAACTTGGAGGTGGACCTGGAGTGCTCACTTTCTCTCACACTCTACATCCAACCGATCAGGATGGATGTGTCTTCTCTTGGCTCTACCTTTAAAATATATCCAGAGTCTGGCCACTTCTCACCCCCTCCATTGCTACCTACCCTGGCCAGGTCACCAACATCTGTCTCCTGCATTATGCTGCCTTCCAACTTGTCCTTCCGCTTTTGCCCTTGGCTCCCTTACCATCTATTTTCAACACAGCAGGCAGAGGGACCTTTTTAATGCCTGAGTCAAATCTTGTCATTCCTCTACTCAAAATCCTTTAAACGGGGTTTGGGGCCCATCGGTATGTTAAAAAGCTATGAGTCCATAACAATACGCAGCTACAGCGACAACAACAACGACAACAACAAAGACCCCTATTGCTGACATTTGGAGGATGCCCAGAAACCAACTCATTTTCACAAAAGTCCATAAATGAAAGGGGAAAAAAATCGAAGATTAAAATGAGGGTTAAGGGCACGTGGTGAATATATGGAGCACAGGATGAGTCAGCGTCATTTTTGAGAAGCAGCATTACTTCAGAAATAATGTCACTGAGGGGAAGAAGGGGTAAAAGTGAGCTATTCAACAGCTACAGCTACAGCCTCAGGCAAGGCTTTGCGTTGGAAGAGAGCACAGATGATAAAAAGCCACAGAGGTACGCGACAGAGAGAGATGCTGAAGACAAAACACACACAGGCGCACATCCACTTGCTGAACTCTGGCATCTCAGCACAATCCCTGTCTCGCAGTTGTGCTGCCAGAATTACAGGCGACCTCAAGGGTACTGTAAAGCAGCTAGCGCTTCTCACCCAGACCGCCTGGGCTTCCCCTCGGGCCCCACCATGATGTACTGGCTGATCCTCCCACACAGACATAGTAGTGAGTGTCCTTTATGACATCACGTGCGCTCCTACTGGTACTTCCTGTGTTATTTTGGAATTCTGCCTACGTCACTGCCATGCCACTGAGTGCATCAGCATCCCTGCTACGGCACAGAAAGAATGGGGTAAGAAGAAAACCAACACTTGCCCAGTGGCAACCAACAGTTGCTCCGTGTTGGGCAGACTCACTAGGTTTCTCTTGACCTCCTCACAGAAATCCCATGACAATTGTATCCACAGTCTCTTTTCAGATCATGGATATGACGCTCACAGACGTCGGGTACATTTCCCAGCCAAGTAAGTGGCAGAACAGGAATTATGTCGTCACCTATATTGGTCTGCCTCTACACCCCGAGTGCTCCTCCAGCAACTGCACTGGTTCTCCCTTAAATGGCAAGCTTTCAGGTCTCAAGGACAGACTTTGCTGAGCAGGCCAGGGATGATGTTTTGTGTTAGTCACTCCTGTTGGTGTGGGAACCAGGTGCTTTGGACAAGGTGGAGATCTCTGTCTTCGACCAGATGGGTGAAATCTGTTTGGGCCACGGGTTTTCAGATTAGGAGTCACTCTGGGCGGGTGGTGTCTGGCACAGAAGAAGGGCCTCATTAATATTTGTTAAAAGAATGCATGTGATGTAGGTTTGGGTTCATCGGCAAAACCACTTTTGAGGATACATCCATCTCAACCATTTCCACCGACGTCTATTTGTATTTATTCCAGACCTATTCGGGCTGCAGAACTATTTCATAACCTGCTTGCAAAACTAGAACGAACTACTTTTTTCTTCTGCAACATTAATATTTTTTTCATTAATGTATCCTTAGAAATAGAACTAAGCACCTCCCTGCAGACTAAGGCTAGAACGGCAGCTTTGAGGATCTCAGAGAAGGAGGCTTTTGCAAATAGTAGTGACGGAAATGAGGAGAGGCGTTCCCTGAATCCAGCAGACAGAGCTTTCTGGACATGTGGTCCCTGTAGGAAGAATGTTCTGGACCTACAGGCATGTTGTGTTCATTCAGCCTTCCGACAGACAGGAAGTACCATCCCTGTCTCAGGGAAAGGGAAGAGTGTGGGTCTGTGTGTCTGTGGAGCCCATGCAAGCAAGTATTTGTATTTTGTATTCCATGCTTCTAGAATTAGGTTACAGATAGGCATGACTCCAAGTCATGTTGGGAAACGCATCGCCACACAATACTGGAGCCCACTGCACATTTCTTTTCATGTGTCATGTGTTATATATGGCCAAATTTTGTTTCTTGTTCAGAATATGCTTTTTCCTTTCTTCTTTCTTTCTTTCTTTCTTTTTTTTTTTTTAAAACCTCTCGGTGTTTTACTATTTGAGTTGACGGTTTTAAAATAAGAAAGTAATAGAGTTCTCTGCACACAAAAGTAATGGAACAATATCCACGGGTTGACCAGGGTTACAGAGCACCCCCAGTGGGGGAGACCAAAAAACCCAGTGGAACACAGCCAGAGCTTCAAAGTGGGTGTAAGATTTTGAGTCCCCGATCCACCTTTCCCAGGAGAAGCACATGAATACTTTTAAGCGTAAAGTGATATTTTCCATGAGATTTACACCGACATACCCTGCCAGTAGCCGTGTGTGAGTCTAATTTTCTGCGATATGCCTAACCATTCAGAAGTCATTCTTACAGTTTGATCCAGACATTTCACTTTTTGAATTTATTACATAAATCGCTCTCTGTCTAAATATATACATATGATTATATGGCTGTGCCTTACAGGTGCCTTGGGACAGAAGGATGACGGGACCGGAGAGTGGCTGATATTGTCCTGGGAGAAGCAGAAATGACTGTCCTTGGAATCAAGTAGACATGGCAAAGAAGGGGCATGACTGTACAGAGTGAAAAGGCCAAGGGATGGATGTGTGGGTCAGAAAGGAGAGGGTGAGGTGAATACAGAGAGAAGACAATGAAACACACATTGAAAAAGCCCCCCAGGGAACTGAATTCATCTTGGCGATATGCTCCCCTCTGGAAGCCCTCCTTCTTTCCTGTCCATGTACATCTTGTCTGTCCCTGTTACTTCACTTCAAGTTGAACACCAGAGAAACAGTTCCCACACAGTCCAAGAAAGGAGAGATGGTACAGGGCAACAGTGTGCAACGATGAGCTTCTTGCCCAGAAGCCTGGAGTCAGGGCTCACTGGTTCCAGACACCACACCCATCATTGCCCACCAGACTCTGAGTGGGCCTTCTCGCACCACTCATTTCAGCCTTGACACAGAGTCGCACAGGATTGGTTATGGGCACAGGATTTGAAATCAGATCCATCAGGATTTCAATCCTGGTGCTAAACTCTATGATCCAAAGCAAGTAACTCGCTGTGACTCAAGTTCTTTTTGCCCCTTTTCCCCTTGACTCAAAGAATTTAGTAACAGTTTCAACCTTGTGGGCTACTGTAAAAATTAAGTGAATTAACACACGGAAATACATGAAAAACACCTGGAGAAATGCCTGTGACCTAACAAGCACCAAAAATAAGTTGTCTATTGCTATGTCCAGAACCTAGTACAACATCTGGCATTTACTGAGAGAGAAATATGTATTAGTTGTATTCGTTGTCATTAGTCCTCCTGGAAATGACAAGGAAAAGAGATGAGTGAGTCGGATCCGGTTGCCATGTCAGCCGTATTTTTACAAAGCGGCGGTAGTAAAACAGGACAGCCCCGGCCCCAGTGGGGAATCATGTGACATATGGATGAAGGGAACCAAAATAAAATGCTCAGAGCATGAAACAGGTTATGTGGAAGGATTCAGTAGGGGACTTAAATGCCCATTTCCAACCTTTGAGGAAACAAAATGTATTATTATGCAAGAAATGTTTCAGGTTTAAGTGGCAGACTACAAGCAGCCAGGCAGAAGATTCGTCACACCACGTGATACAAAGGGAAAGAAAAAAAATGTCAGGTTATAAAACTGTATATTATAGTATGATTCCTCAGAAGAACATATCAGTGAAAAATTCTGTTTTCATTTGTATATATGAACACAAACAAGTCAGGGTAAAGGGACACGTGAGAATGTCAACCATGTGTAGAAGCAGGTGGCTGGAATGCAGAATGGTTATACTTTCACACCTATGCTTTATACTTGTGGATGTTTATGGCTGGGTCAGGGTTTTGCCAAGTGCTTGGGAAGAAGCACTTTTCCTATTGGCCCATATACAGCACAATGGAAACCGTTTATTATTGATAATCGGGTGTGGATATCTTCCCTCTGATTAATAAGCTAACCTCACTTTTGACGACTCATTCAACTTCTCCTGATCCCAGATTCCAGGGATTAGGGCGAGCTACCACATCAATCAAGATATAGAATATAACACACACCCCAAAAGGTTCCCAGTTGATCTCCTCTTCATCCCTTGGCTCCATGCAAACACTGATCTGCTTTCAGTTAGTATATATTCGTTTTCCTATTCTAGGATTTCACAGAAACGGAATCAAACACCCTGTACCCCTTTGTGTCTGGCTTCTTTAACTCGGCATGTTTCTGTGACCCACCCATGTTCTTGAATTTTCCTTGCTGAGTAGTAGCCCCTTGATGGACATACCACAATTTGTTCACCTTTGATGTTGTTTTAATGAAGTTTCAGGAGGAAGTGAAAGGAGAAACTTGCCTTCAATTAGCCATCTTTCTTGGACAGCCTTCTATTCTTTTATAACGGACATAATTTCATCCTTTATCACTCCTTTGTCTCTCTGGGGAAATATTATCTTAATGTCTGTTTCAGTCGCTTCCATTTTTTTCTATTCCCTCAGTGCCAATTATTGGATTTGTTGAGTTTGTGCCATCCCTTCCATGTTGACCCTGGGTTGTGGCTGTCTTCTGCAGAGGAACCTCCACTGCTGAATCAGCCCTGGGCTCACGGACACTTTGCTTTAACCCCATACGCTGCTCTGGCCTTGCCGGCAGTTTAGCTTCAACGCGGACACAAGCTGTGGTGGCCCCTGCTTTACCAGTTTTCTCATTTCCTTTCTGTTTGAAAAAGACATTCTCCTCGATTTCTTACACGGGAATCTTTATTTCATATTTTCCAGTGTAACTCTGTATTTATCATATATTGTAACATTATCATTCTGAAGCCACAATTATAACATTTTAAAAGTATTTACGGTAAAATACTTGCATTCTTGTCATTTAAATTGCTCAAGCAGTTCTCAACCATGATTACATTAGAGCCACTTGGAGACCTGGAGACAATTCACTAGCACCAGGACACACCCAGAACAATCAAAGCAGAACCGGGGTTAGATCCGGGCAACCACATTTTTATACTTTCCACGTGACTTGCAGTATGCAACCAAGGTTGAAAACAACTGTGTTAAAGCCTCAGCTTTTGGCTTATGCTTGCCAGAGGATCCTAGGAATAGCTGCCTCCTCATTTTGCTGACTTCCCACTCAGCACTGTTTTGGGGACCCAATGAGTCTATTAGCTTAGAGCAGTGGTCAGCAACTATGGTCTGTGGGACAAATCTATCCCAAATCCCCCTTTCCTTCAAGGTCTTTTGCTTGCAACCAATTTTGGTGCCAAGTAGTGTGTTAATCAAGGTCCCAACCTGCCTATGCCAGAATTCACTCTAGCTGTTTTATACAAACAAGATATCTGTAATAAAATATATTACATAGCTTACAAAAACTCTGTGAGAGCCAGAAAAGCAGGCCTGGATGCTGCACAGCCAGGAGAAGTCCACCCACATTATGAAACCGCCACAGCTGAAATACCACTGTTGCCTGCCCATTAATTGACATGCATGACAGAGACTGAATTCTAGAAACTCTACAATGGCTGCCCCATAAAACCTGGAGACCTCCCTCAACACAGGTAGTCCACCCCACATATGGCTCCCATGTTACTCAGTTCCACCTCTGAGTCTCATGTTGGCACATATGCTTCATATGACAGATATCCCATTTGGGACCCTAACTGCAAGGGGCTCCGGTAAATTGTGTGTGTGTGTGTGTGTGTGTGTGTGTGTGTGTGTGTGTG